TTTTCATCTGGTCTATTCTGAGCCTTGTATCGATGCTGGCTTCTAAAACACACATTGGCCTTTATGTTTCTGCTTCTCTCAACATGGGGTGCTCAGAATTGAACCACATGCCCACATGGCATCTGCCAACCAGCAAAGACTGTATCAATAGGCTGAAGCCATCAGAGTCATGACATAGGAAAGCTAGAATCAAGGCAGCTGGCCCCAATCCCGCACCAGGTCCCTCCTGGGTTACTTCCCCTGTTTGTGATAAAAAAGCCTTCTATAATAAAATAAAATAGATAACATGGAGTCATTATTTATTGTTCAAATACCCTGTGTGTTTACGTGTTGGCCTGCTAACCAGGAGGTCAGCAATTTGAAACGGCCAGCAGCTCCTTGGGAGGAAAATGGGATTTACGACTCCCATAAAGAGTTAAAAGTTGCATGGACCAGGGGTGTGAATAGCCTTGCTATCATGCAGAATGTATTGGAAAATGGATTATGATTTAGCACTCTTCTCATTTGATGTCCCTTATGATACATTTAAATTTGTTCTACTTTTTGATACTATTCTGCTTTCTTTTCGATCAAGGTTCTTATCTGTCTCATGTTGTTATTCATGTTACCTTTTGTTTGTTTGTTTTTAATATTTCTCTGCATATGAGATCCAGAATAGGTAAATCTATTGAGACAGTAACTGTATTAATGGCTCCTTGGGTCTATGGCGGGGGTGGTTGTGGGGAATCGGAGAGGTAATAACGGTGAGTACAAGAATGAAGAAAATGTTCTAAAACTGATTGGAGTGATGATCGTGCAACTCTCCTTGATGTGATCGAACTATTGAATTGTATGATGTGACTTATATGCCAATAAAACTGTGGGAACCAAAAAACCAGTTACAGGATACTGTGAGTCAGCATCAATTTGATGGCACTGAGGGCTGTTTTTGGTGCCACCGAGAGCCTGGTGTTTCAAATCAACCCTAAGGCTCGGCAGAAGGACCCCCAGCATAATGTGTCTGCAAAGACGACAGGTGAACAACCGCTACAGATCAGTTAGAATCTAACGAAGGACTCGCCATGGGTGTGAATTGGCACCACGGTCACAAGTTTGCTTTGTTTTTCATTCTTTGGCAAAGGTTCATGTTCTCCCGAGACCCACCAGGTGTTATGGATTGTCCCCCAAAGGGACGACTCAGACCTACTATTCCTACAACCTCAGGATACGATTCCCCCGGGAACCCAAAGACGGCTTGTGCAGCAGGGTTGAAATTTATGGCACACTGATTAAAACGGGCCGAGCCACAGCGTTGCTATGGAAATAGGAAAGGCCATTCCAGGGTGTAGGAGCTCGTGGCACAACAGAACATTTGGTAGTTGAAAAAAACTGGTTGATCAGCTGGCCGGGTCATCTGAGAACAACTCTCTGTGAAGTCCCTTTTAGAGAAAAGAAGAGCGGTGGTCCCGGGTGACAGGGACGGGGACCGATGGAAGACTGACCCTAGGTCCCACTGGAGAAGGCAACCTCCCAGGACCTGGACTCAATTTCCGAGATACAATCTCAGGCCCACTGATCTCTTCATGGGAACAGAAGCCCCTGAGGGGACGAGGCTCCCGGGGCCAAATCCCCCCACTGCCAGCCTCTTCGGGGTTGTGAGGAGTGAACTGATGTGCACGCTGAGGGGCTGGGGCCTCGCGGCCCTGGTTTGGCTTCTGAGCCGCCTTACCAGTCTCATTTCCCGCTTGGTTTCATCACATCGGTGAGGCAGGATTGGGACGATGGAGGGAGGAATGAGAACTCCAGCCAGGGTGTAAATTCGGCCATTTTTGGCAGCCACTTCCGTTTCTTCCATGGCCACACCGTTTGCAAGAATCTGTCCCTGGAAGGAAGCAATGGCATCTTTCATTCTGTGCCTGCAGGGCCCGCAGGCAGGTCTCAACGACAGAGGCCTCGCCAAATGACACCCTACCTTCAACGGGGTGAAAGAGGCTACCAGAAGGGCCTGTCTGACAAGAAGGTATGACCGTGAACTGACTGCTTGACTGATCCCAGGTATAATGGGCTGTGTTGGGTCTCCCCCAAAGGCATGCCCACGTCCTCCGTCCCAGTCCTTGTGCGGGTGCCCTTGTTTGGAAATAGTGTCTTGACAGATGGCATTGACGCTAGCGTGATGCTAGGTCCCGGTAGAGTAGGAGGGGCTCTAACCCAACATGGCTAGGGTCCATCGGGGAAGAAGAGGAGATGAGACAGGAAGAAAGGATGGCCCGGTAAAGACAAAGGCAGAGATTGGAGTGATGTTGCCACAAGCCTAGGAAGGCCCAGGCCTACCGGAAACTGGAAGAAACAAAAAGGATCTTCTCTCAGCTTTTAGAGGGAGCTCGGCCCTGCTGACACACTGAATTCAGACTTCTAGGCTCCAGGGTTGCGAGAGAAGAAACTCTGGTTGTTTTAAGTCGCCCACGGCGGGGCACTCTGTTGTGGCAGCCCGTGGCAACGAGGATATCAGGCAAGGATGATCTTGCACAGGTGACACTGGCAGAATGGTCCCCCCAGATGCTGGGCTGAGGGGAGAGGTGTAACTTTTCCAGCTCTACCATCGATGTGCCACGTAACCTTGGGAGATGGTCCTACTGCTCTGTGGCAAAATGAGGGGTCATTCATTCAAATATGATTATTGACCTTGGATTAGAAGCCGAGGCTACATCAGGGAACACACACAGGGGGTTGCGATGGGTTGAGAACATGCTCCAGTGAAAACTACCAAACAAACTCATGGCCATCGAGTCGAGGCTGACTCGCGGTGACCCTGTCGGACGGGGTGGAACTGCTCCGCAGTTCCAGAGACTGTAGCTCTTTGCGGGAGTAGAAAGGCTCCTCCTTTCTCTCTTGGAGGGGCTGGTGGTTTAGAAATGTGGACTTTGAGGATTGTAGCGCAATGCATAACCACTGCACTCCCAGGGCTCTAGTGGAAAAAGTTGAAAAAGAACTAATTCTCCTAGGTTCTCATTAGAACTTGCTCTTTCTGAAGTATGCTTTATCTAATCAGAGGTAACGCCACTCTTCCGGTTGCTAAAGTTAAAAAAAAATATCGGGTTCTTCTTGGCTTCCTCTCTCTCCAACTCGCTTTGACTTCTCCAGGACACTTGGATGGGTCAACCTTCAAAATGTATTCAGAATCCATCCATTTGTTACCACATCCCTGAGACCGCTCTGGTCTCAGTGGCCACCTCCTTCTCTGGATAGTTACAATAGCCTCCTAGCTGGTCTCCCTGCCACTTTTGTCACCCTCCCTGTGAACCAATACTCAACACGGCAGCCACAGGAACCCTGTGAAGATGTGTATCTGACCTTGGCATTCCATTATTCACAGTTCTCATCTCATTCCAAGTACGAGCTCAGGGCCTTATCATGACTGCTTACACCATACAGAAACCTAGCTTTTCCCAGGGCTTCCAGGTGCATATCAGGAGTGGGAAACCACCAGCCACTCCTCTGGAGAAAGAAGAGGCTTTCTCCTCCCATAGAGATTTCCAGCCTCGGCCCCCACAGGCGCTGCGCTGCTCTGTCCTCTAGCGTAAGCATGGCAGTGAGTTTGGTTTGGAGGCTGTTAAACAAATACCACAATTGGGTGGCTTTGAAGAACCTACATTTATTTTTTTATCGTTCAAGAGATTAGAAGTCCCCAATCAGGGCTCTAGGGGAAGGTCCTTCTTCGTCTCTTCCAGCTTCTGGCAGATGGCGGTCTTGGAGTTCCTGGTCTTAGAGATGCATCAGTTCCGTGTGTCTGTCTTTATATGGTGTCTTCCCTCTGTATTGTCTTGGTGGCTGTTTGGCTCTTTTTATCATGCACAAGTAATTAGGTCTAGGACCCACCCTGTACTGGTATAACATAACAAAAGAACCCCCCCCTTTCCAGAAATAAGGGGGCGGGGAATCGCTATTTAGGAGCCATGTCTTGTTTAGAGGCACAGGGTTGGGATGGCATCCCATGTTTTGTTGCAGTGAGCTGGGCTGGGGCGCCGGGGAGCCACAGCTCAGGTGTGCTCCTGGCTCTGTCTTTGCCCAGGTTGCGCTCCCCCTCTGGACTGCTCTTTCAGTCACTTCCTTCAGATCTTTGCTTCTTGACAAAGTGTTCACGGCCATTTTATCTAAAAGGTCAGCACCCCAAATAATAATAATTTATAAATTATCAAGGGTTCATGAAAGAGTGGGGAGTGGGGAGGGAGGGGAAAATGAGGAGCTGATACCAAGGGCTCAAGTAGAAAGCAAATATTTTGAGAATGATGAGGGCAACAAATGTACAAATGTGCTTGACACAATGGATGGATGTGTCGATTGTGGTAAGAGTTGTACGAGCCCCCGATAAAATGATTAAGAAAAATAAATAAAAGGTCGGCCCCACCACTAACCTGATCCTTTGGACTCCACCCCACTGTTTTCCTGCTCAGTGTCATCATGCTTGGACATACGGCATATCTCAATTGCTTAACCTTTTTTGATCTATCCTCCTACTGATTAGAATGAAAGTCCCACACAGGGACTTTTGTCTGTTTGCTCACAGGTCTATTGCCAGCACCCAGCCCAGTGCCTGGCACATACAAGACTGTCAGTGGATATTTGTTGAAAGAATGAGTGATCATTATCATCATCAACGGTGAATCAACAGGAGATGTAAGCTCTATGCTATTAGACTTCTGCTGACATCACAGGCCCGGCATTTCCTTAGTGGAACCACGGTGCCCTCTCTGCGTGTGTTAAATAAGTCATGTTCTCGCCCACCTCAGGGCCCTTGCACATGCTCCCCCTTCTGCCTGGAACTCTTTTTCACTCACCTCCGCCCACGTTCTTTACAACACATCCTTCCAAGCTTGGCCAGACATCACGTCTTCAGGGAGCGCTCCTTGGCCATCTGGCTAGCTCAGGCTCCTTCTGTCATGTGCTCTTACAGCTCCCCGGCACATCTGGTTGGTGGCGCTTATTGAAATTGTCACTAAATGACTAACCAACCACTCCCCTTCTTACTTTTTTAAAGTCTGATTTCCCTACTGGGCTGTGAGTCTGCTATTTCATTGTCTTTTCCCTGGCACCTGGCTCAGAATCTTGCCGGTGGCATTTACTTGGGAAATGTTTGCCAGAAGAATGAGCATGTGGATGAAACAGCCATGAGGATGTGAAGTCTGTGCGGCGGTGTGGAGGACAGATGGTGAGCCATGTTCAGAGCAAAGATGCACGTGCTCAATGACCCTAGTAGTAGATGTCTTACTTACGTCGTTGGTTATGTTAAACTGTATCATTTGGTTGGCCATGCTCCTGATGCGAGGGGTGGAGATGAGAGTGGCCACTTCGAGCTGAAATGCAGACAATAGACAGGGACACGGAGAGCGCACATCAAGCCCACATTTGCTGTCTTCATCAGAAAAAATAAAGCCTTCGAGATCATGAGACACATCATGGGTGTTTTGGCTTGGAAGAATTCTTTAACAACATACTCATGATGCCTGGCTCTGGGTGTGCTAGGAACAGTGTTTCCCAAAGGGGGGAATCCTGCCCCTGGGGGCACTGGAACAAGCCAAGGGATGCTGCAAAAGCAGATACCTGCACGTTATCCTGGATTATGAGTTATAGTACAACAATTTCTAATTGCCAGAGGGCATGCTGAGTAATAAATATATAGATATATATTTTTTCCTGAAAAGGAAGTGCTCAGCTCAATATATTTGGGAACCTATGCCTTAGACTAAGCCTCAGAGTCACAGATAAGCTACAATGAGCATGCTTTCCCTAGCACACACATTATGGAATTCAACATCGTGGGTCTGGTCTTAAATTGTGATATATGTACTAGGAGAAGAATAGGAGTCTATACTTGAACTAGCACATACAGGTAGGACTTTAACACCAGGCCTGGTATCTCAATGGAAAGTAGAGTTGGGGAAGGTGGAACCGACCTGGGTAAATGGGATCAGGTGGTATCTGACGAGTTCCAGAAGCTTCCGAGATCCCTGCAAAGAAATCAGAAGACTTGTTTAGTCAATGAAGAAAGCACATGGCCCCTCTTCTTGTGGGAGCCTCCTCAAACTTTTAATTAAGATTAAAGAAAACATTCTAAACCCATCATCTCTATCTTGGGGAAGTCCAAGTTTGGAGAAGTCTCATCTGAAAAATAGCTACTCTGTATTAGGCTCTGCTGTGAAAACGTTATCTACACCATCTCATTTTTTCCTCCCGACAAGCCTGTGAGGTAGGGATTCTTTTGCAACCGCCTCCCGCGCCCCCCGCCCCCCCCCTGGCCAATTTAATGTGTGAGAACACCAAGTTGTAAAGACATTTCTGAAACCACAAAAGTAATTTTAGGACATAGGAATAAGACTAAGTCCAAGCCCGAAGCCCCCTCTGCCTCATCGCATCTGAGTGTGCAAGGTGACCTTCCAACATTTTTAAGACGGCCTCAGTCTATAACTCAATCCCCTTTCTCCACAGATACACATCCTGCATATTGGCTGTTTGGGAATCCGTGGTTATTGTTCGGAACACCCACATGGACAGCACTCTTTCCTGTGTGAGCTCCCGTGGGCCTCTGACCACTCCTCCTTCAAAGCTCACCCCCCCCCCCACGTGCTTCTGCGGCTTCAGGAATCTGAAGCAGCAGTGGAGATAGAAGAGGGTCCTGGGATGCAAGGAAGGGAACGTCGCCAGGACCAGCAGTCCTCTAATGGGCTGAGGGACCGGAGAGATCTACAGTGCTGAGGAGAAGGACCAGGTTAGGGAGGGTTGGGATACACCCTCTTCTCCAGAACATTCCTAAGTAGCCTGTAGGTTGGGAGAAGACGGTGGCAGCAGTGGTCTCCCGGAGAATGGCTACATTCAGCTCAGTGAGACCCAGGAGTTCCAAGCGTCACAGCCTTCAGACTCCTCTCCTTGGCCTTGGTTTGCATGATAAAGGGTAGCAGATCCAGATCTCAATAATGGACCTGCTATTGTTCACTGCTCCAGGGACATGCCCTAACAGTTCCAGGCTGAAAGAAAATCAGGCTCAGCCCAAGTCCATCCACCCTGTCCCCTTTCTGCATCTGATGTTGGCCCATGACCTGCGCCAGGGGAGTTCGCTGTCAATAGGATGACCATCTGTCCGGGTACAACTGGGGCAAACCTGGTTTACACTCGCTGTGCTGGCAGCCCCATTGACTCCCAGAGTGTCCTGGTGTGGATGATAGATTATGTGGCCACCATGGCTATAAGCCTGGAACATGATGTGTGGGGCAAGCTTGCTAACTGGAAAGTTGAAGTAGCCCATCAGTCAGCCCTGGGAATGGTGCTTTCTGCAGCCCTGAACAGGGTGACCCCTGAGTAAGTCCCTTACCCTCCAGTCCCCATTTCCTCTTATAATGACTCCATGGTACCCAGTAGTGGAGCCGTGCACCCAGTAGAGACAAAACTATTCCAAGCTCAGTATGGGCTGTGGCAGAGGGACACATTGGGTAGGGCAAGGAAATGCCAGCTCACACTGAGCTGCAGACAGCTGGAAGGCAGAGAGGGCGTGCCTGGCTCTGTAATCACTCTGCCCCCAGCTGGCACAGTGTAGGGCACATGCTGGGTCCTCCATAAACACGTGAGGGCACCGACTGAAAGTCAGAGGGAAGAACATTCAGCTGAACCTCTGGAGCCTGACTGCTCATCCGCATTTTGCTTCCGTGTCACTTTGAGTAAGTCCCTCTCCCTTTCTGCGTCTCAAGTGCCACCTGCAAAATACAAGGGCTGGCACGGATTTCTTTCAGTTCTCTGATCTGAAGAGAGGAGTCTATCAACTGGAGAACCTACTTCTTTAGTCTCAAGAATTAATGGCTGGGGAATCTTTTTTACAAGATTCAAGAGCATAACAGGGCCAGAGGATCCCTGTAGCCTGGCTGTGGTCACTCAGCGTGCTGGCCGCCTTATCTGGCTAGGGGAAGTCAGAGCCCTCATTAGGTTCAAGTTCACCAGCCCAGTTCAGAGCCTCAGGAAATGCTTGCAGGTGTTGTTGGTGAAGAGTCTTGTGGAGTGATGAGCGTCACATTCTTTCCATGAGGACTTTCTTTCAGAGTCAGGGAAAAAGACAAGCCCTTGGTGCCAGAGGCAGTGATGGGGGAGGAAGAGAAGAAGCAGGAAAGAGCGGGGAGAGGAGACGTAGGATAAGGAGGAGAGGAGAGAGAGAGAAAGAGAGAGGGAGAATAAAGATAGGAGAGGAGGAGGAGGAGGAAGAAGGAGGAGGAGGAGGAGGGGGAGGAGGAGGAAAGTGAGAGTGAATTGCACTTTTTATCAAGGCACTTTTAATAATCAAATTCTTAACATGACCTTGAACTCTGCAAATTCACATCCCTCCACTTCATTTTTGCTTGCAAGGTATCTGTGAATTGCCAAGAGCAAGTCTCTTGCCCACACTGCTTTCGTGGCATCATGGGCTGCACTTGTGGCTGCTAGCGTAAGGTCAGCAGTGCTCCCGCAGAACTTGCACCTGGATCCAGAAGTAGTTGTGCAAACAGCACGAGGGCATACTGCACGGCTTAAAATCAGGCCAGGTGTGCGTCAGGTTGTATCCTCTCACCACACTGACTCAGTCTTATTCAAGCATCAGAGAAGCTGCATTATGCGAAGACAACTGTGACGTTGGGATCGAGGAAGGTTGTTAAAGAAGACAACACCTGTGTACAGATGCTTGCTGAAAGTGAGGAGGAACTGTAGCACTTGCCAATAAGGATCAAGGCCTGAAGCCTTCAGTATGGATTATGACCCAATGTAACGAAGACCCCACATGGTCACAATTGGACCAATAGGTGACATCGTGATAAATGGACAAAAGAGTGACGTTGTCAAGGGTTTTGTCTTGCTTGGATCCATAATACATGCTCATGGAAGCAGCAGTGAAGCGATCAAAAGACCCGTTGCCCTGGGCACATCTGTTGCCCAAGATCTCTTCAAAGTGTTGAAAAGCACTTTGAGGACTAAGGTGCTCTTGACCCAAGCCATCGTATTTCCCATGACCTCATATGCAGGTGGAAGTTGGACATTGAAGGAGGAAGGCTGGGGAAGAACTGATGCATTTAGATCATGGTGCTGGTCAGGAATATCAAAAGTACCACAGACTGCCCAAAGAAGAAACAAATGTATCTTGGAAGAAGTATAGCCAGACGCTTGTTAGAAGCAAGGATGCCAAGACTTGGTCCCCTGTACTTCAGACGTGTTTTTAAGAGAGACCATCCCTGGAGCAGGGCACCGTGCTTGGTGAAGTGGAGGGGCAGTGAAAAAGGGCAAGACTGGCCAAGCTGGATTGACTGTGTGGCTGTAATACTGGGCTCAAACATATGAGCGGTCGTGAGGGTGACACAGGACCAGGTTGTACCCAGGGTAACTGTGGTTTGGAGTCTACCTGACGGCATCTAACAACGGGAAAACAGGGAGGTTGACTTTTTCCTATTTGAGTTAGAACATTTTAGTTTATCTTTAAGTGCCCTTGATTAGGTACCTGAGAGCTCTTTCACCATTGTTTTCAAAAATGAATCGCATCAAACGGAAAGCTCCGCATTCAGTTGGTACTGGTCATTGAGTCCTTTCTGACTCACGGAGACCCCCGTGTGCAGGACAGAACTGCTCCGGAGGCTGTTCAAGGACGCGAGCTTTCGGAAGCAGATCCTCAGGCCTGGTCTCTGTGAGTCAGAATGAACTCCGCGACGTCTAGTGAGTGAACACGTGGGCCTATCTTCTGATGGGAGCCCTGGAGGCAATAGTGGGCTACACATTTGGATGCCAACCCCAAGATCAGTAGCTAGAATCCTCTAGCCGCTCAGTAGGTGGAAGATGAGGCTTTCGACTCTTGATACGCATGATGGTCTCAGAAGCTGACATGTCATACAGGTCTACTCTGTCTCATTGGGTCCCTATGACTAAGGAGGAACTGGAAGGCAGGGAGTGTGGGGCAGCATGATCTTCGGACGCCTCTCGATGCGTTTGGACCGCCAACCCTTTGGCCAGTAGTCGAGTGCTTATCCAGTTGGGCTACCCAGGAGATCCTTTTAGACCTAGAGGGCATATCATCTCTGTCTGCAATAGGTAGATGATGGAGAATTTGAGTGTGAATTACATTTTCTAAAAGTTTTTTATTTTCAAGACACTGGGGGAACTGCCTTTTTAAATGACCACCAGACCCTTTGATAGGTTGAAAATACATTTCCATGGAAAGAGATTATCTTCTGATTTATTTGTTTGATCATGTTTTCCAACCTCCAAGTTTTCTGGAAACAAAATACCTTGAAGAGACCTGAAAGTATCCCGAGAGAACGCACAATGTGAACCCCTAAACTAAACAAGCCTCAGCAAGTTTCCGGATTCTGAAAACAGGGTGACCAGAGACTCTGTAAATTGGAAGGGTGGGGTCTGACTCAAAATGGCTTTTTCTGGGCCTCACTAGGCAGTGTTTCAAGTGAGGAATCTGGAATCTGCCTGTTTAATAAACTTATCACATGATGCTCGGCAGCCTAACCTCTGGGAATCGGTACGCTAAGACAGAGGTGGATACTATACCTCTGGGGTGAGGAGGTAATCCAGAATGCCATCCTCCAGATTATTTAATGCCTCATTACTTGGAACAAAAATGGTGTATGGTCCACCAACCCCATCTTCATCTAGGGCATGTCCCACGTTGGCTTCCTGTATGTGAGAAAAGAAACTTGATATATCTGAAACCTATCTTAGATATTTGAAATACTCCACCAGCATTATTTATAATATAAATACATCACTAATTCCACAGAGGACTTGATAGACAACTTTTCCCAGAAATGTATGAGTACTTACTTCTAGCAAAGATCTGAACTTGCTGAATCTTGGTTGTAGCATTGCCATGATGGTTTGCTAAAGAGAAAGATTTTTTGGGGGGTAAAAATCAGTAACAAAACCAAAACACCAACCAACCAAACAAACAACCCCCCCCCCCACCCCCAACCAAAAACCCAAACCCTAACATTCAAGGACTGGGAGAGTTTATGTGAATTTATATAATATATTTCATGTAGTAAAAAAAAAGTGTAAATATCTTTATGCTTATATTTATACTAGGAGAAAGTTGAGTCTGTCTACTCTCAAACAGAGTTTTAGTCTTGGAAATTCACAGGGGCAATTCTACCCTGTCCTATAAGGTTGCTATCATTTGCTATGCTCAATGGCTGGGAGCGAGTCTTATTTATACAGTACACTTGTATTTGTATATAAAGTTATACATATATATAATCATTTGGTGAATGTCAGTGCATCATACAAATGCTTGATATTATAATTTAGAGAGTAGTTTGGACCCCCACATTCTGAAGTGATCTTTGGCTATCATTTTATAGATCAGAGGGAATCAAGTTTCTCACAGTGAGAACTATCCTTCTTCATAAAGCAGAGGAATACATTTTCATAACAACTGGATGTTGGGCTGAGTTGCTAATTGTGGCTGGAAGAGAGATCACAAAAGGGAAAAATATACTTTCTCTATAATTCTTGTGTGTCTTTTTTCTCTCTCTGTGGATGTTCCTAGAATAATAGTAAAAACAGGTTTAAATGATCCTATCTTCCATGTGCTTCCAGAGGGAGTCCAAGTACAGATGTCAGTGGAGGCGTTTTCTTCTTGGAAGTGGCACAAAGGTAGATGGAGCGGGGTTGACATCACGTTCACCTGAAACATCTCACCTCCGTGTTGCTTTCGAAGGTGGGGTCCATCTTGTCCATGGCTCTGTCGATAATGTGCAGCAGCCCGTTGGAAGCAATCATGTTGCCCTGTATAATTTTCACCTTCTTTTTTCCTCCATAGAGTTTAAGTTTAAGTTGATTGTCCTGTAGCACCAAGGGAAAAGGAAATGAATGCTGCTTCCCAGAGGAGCGCTGGGTGAACAGTCAGATGTCTTGAGTCCTTTCATCCTGTGATTTTCAGCTGCATGATTTGGGTGGATTAAAAAAAATCATTTTATTGGGGCTCATACAACTCTTATCACAATCCATACATGGGTGGATTTGTTTTAACCAAAATGGGGTTAACCAAGCTGTCTGCTTGGTTGATGTCGCAGGGCTTTTATTAAGATCTAGGGAGATCAGTGAGGATTATCACATACTAAAAGTAGATAAGACATGACAAGGATTATAAGGACTTCAAACTCCACAAGGGATTAGAATATTTATTGTAAAGTCATCACCTACTTTAGTGTTTTGCACAGAGAAGGCAAATAACTTATTTATTGAATTAATAAATTAAGTAAATTCCCTTTTCCTCTTACAGAGCCTACATGTTTCGGGTTTAGTTAACATTTGTTAAATGGGTAAATGTTTGTTCTTGTGAAGAACAAAGCCATATCTCTGTATCTATTTATAACCCACCTATCTCCACCTGTCTGAGTCTATTTATCGATCTGCCGATCTGGTGAAGAATACTGAAAGTACCACGGAATGCCAAAAGAACAACCAAATCTCTCTTGGAAGAAGTACAACCAGAATACTCCTTAGAGGCAGGGATGGAGAAACATCGTGGCCATCGTGCTTAGTAAATTAGAGGGGCAGCAAAACAGAAGAAGGCCCCTGACCAGATGGATTGACACCGCGCTTACAAAAATGGGCCCAAACATAACAATTGTGAGGATGGTGCAGCACTGGGAGGTGTTTCCTTCTGTTATACATAGGGTCGCTATGAGTCGGAACTCCTTGATGGCAACTAACAACAACAATCTACCTATCTACATGCCTATTGAACTACCCGTCCATCTGTCCATCCATCCGTCTGTCCGTCTATTGGTCCGTCCATCCATCCATCCATTCATCCATCCATCCATCCATCCATCCATCCATCCATCCATCCATCCATCCATCCATCCATCCATCCATCTTCAAACACACAACACAGCATCCTGGATAAGGATGCTGGCATTAGAGTCAAACAGCTCAGTTTTCCATGGGATCCATGAGGGCAATGATTGTACTTCCTTCTTCTTCTTTTTTTCCTTTTGGATTTGAATTTTATTTTTAACAATCCTCAAATCATACTGGCTGATATGCTTCTTCCTTCTTTTTGCTTTTTTCACTTCACAACTCTAGGGGCAAAGAGGCTAAGCAATGGTCCGTGGCTGCAGTTAGCTCAGACACACCGGCATGGACCTAGCATAAATCCAAACTCATGTATAGTAGCACTTCCTTCAAAGGGCGGTGTTGCAGGTCTATAGAGCAACAACGAATCTTCTCCCCACAGCTCACACAGAATCAGCACTCCAGAATGTAGCAACTGTTGGAATGCAGTGAAGTACAATGCTACTGGCTGTACAGCCCACAGGTACATCCTGCCGATGAATCCCTTCCTTCCTCGCCCTGCTGAGTGGGGGAGGGCAACCTCACTTGGTGAATGCACAACACCCCTAATGACAGTAGGAGAGATGGATTGTTACGCCACAGAGAATGGATAAACCCATCGGAGGCTATCGAAAACATACAAATCCATTTCCTTTTGTTAAAGAACAACAATAATAAAAGAAGCTGAGCTAGCTTCAGGCTGATGATGCGTCCAGGAAATAAGGTTTCAGCAAAGCTTCTCCTTCCTGCTGGCAGATGACTGATGGTTTGCCGTGACAACAAATTCAGACTCAAACCCAAATCAAACACTTCATCTGCCTCCTTCCTGACCCTTCCTCCCCCTGCTCTGGGCTGCTTCCTCCAAAGGAAATGTGCTCTGATAAGCAAGGAACAAGGCAAGAAGTTCTTGAAAGCGTTCACAAGCCCCAGACGCAAAGAGAGACGGGCTACAGTCACTGACTCAGTCAACAGTCTTATCGTGGCCGTGAACCGTGGAGAAGGCCTTACCTTTTCCTGGTTGAAGACTTCCCCAGACCTCCCCGTCAAGGAATAGAAGGTGTCTGTGCTATTCAAACACTCCATGCTCATCTGCCCAGCGATGATGTGGGATTTCACGAAGTACCGAGCAGCCTCAGGGTCCATCAACAACTCTTTCACCTAAGAAAAGAGAGCGTGCTCCCTTGGTCTGGTCAGTGCCTGCCAGTGAGGGCTGTGGAGACTTTGGGATGCAGAGTGTTCTCCCTGTGTACACCCCTTGAGACAGGTCTTAAAGGAGTGGGGCTCTGAAGAGCTGGAGCGATGCAGGGTCTGCTATCCATCCATGGCCGGAGCTGCTTTGGTGCCAGGGAATCAAGGGAGCACAGGCCCCAAGGAGCAGATGGGAATGAAATCTGTAGTTACCTGACAGCAGCCCTTAGGTTGGATGGATGGTTCTTTTGCCTGGTAAAGATTTGAAAAGCCCATTGAGTGAAAGCTGTATTTTGTTTCGATTAGCGGAATCCTGGCAGCATAGTGGGTTATGCATTGGGTTGCTAACCATAAGGTCAGCAGTTCCAAACCACCAACTGCTCTGTAGTGGAAAGATGAGGCTTTCTACTGCTGTCAAGAGTTAAATTCTCAGAAACCCACAGGGGCAATGCTGCTCTGTCCTACAGGGAAGCTATGAATCAGAATCGAATTGATGGCAGTGAGTTTGGTTTTATATAGTTAACAACCAATCAGCAGATGCTTTTTATTAACTCTGGGTAAACTTAAAAAAAAAGCGGCTTGGTGGCACAATGGTTAAGCACTTGCTAATTGAAAGATTGGGATTTCGAATGCACCCAGTGGCCCCGCAGTAGAAAGACCTTGTGCTCTTCTAAGAGAACGCTATGGGGCAGTATATTCTGTGACATAGGGTCACAGCACGCAATCCATATCCTGTAGATGCAATGTCTACAAGAAACCACACAGGCGCCCTGGAGTCCTGAGGGTGATTCTGTGCGTCACAGGACTTTCAATGGCTGATATTTGGATGTAGATTCCCAGACCTTCTCAGGTGCTTCTGGGTAGACTCCGACCTTTCATCTTTGGTGTCACCCAGGGGCTGTGTAAACGTAATCTATATATTAAACAAGGCATCCGACCTCTGTGAGTTCTCCTTCCCAACAGGGGAGCTGTGAAGGCATCGCTGAGGATTAATGATAGATTAATTTCAGTCGGTTAGTTGTGGTGGTATAGTAGAGCAAGTAAGCCAGGAATGTTGGGTTTTTACTCCACACAGCAAGAATGATCACCACAAAATATCCTGGATGAAGATAAATCAGTCCAACATGCACCGCTATGTCTATCGGCTGCATTAAAACCAAACACAACGCTTTCATTGATATCACTGCAGCAAGAAGACCCACCTACCAGATATTAAGTGTCTTCATTCCCACTGGGTGACATGATCTCAAACAACAGCTGCTCACAAGGACTTAGAGACACACTTTAGAGATGTTCTAGTTTTTCCTGCCACTGTGCCTCTTGATGATAATTTTAGGAAACACACCCTAACTCCTGTGTTCATTTGACAATTCTTATAGGAAGCGGTGGTTGTGCATTCTGCCAATCTTATTCATCACACGTTAAAAACTCTTAACCGGTGTCCTTGGAGAGGGTCAAGATTGGGAAGGGCTCAAGGGGCCTAGGGGGTTTCCGGGTGCTTGTCTAGCTGGGTGCCCAGGTATGACCCATTGAGCTGGGCACTTAGGCTTTGTGCGCTTTTTGTAAGCATAGTATATTTCACCAAAAATGATTGTATCAAAGAAATCACCATCCCTCTCATGAGCAGACTTCGTTTTTCCAGGGGAGGGACTTCCCACGTTCCGTGACAGAATGTCGTGCCCACTAGGTTTGCTGGATTAGCCCCTTGCTCCGGCTGTCCTGGTATGTGCAAGCACAATTGTCGAAGTACTCACATTGAATCCTTTCAGGCCTCTGTCTGTTGGCAGCAGTAGTGTGAACGGTCCCAGGTTGCTCAGTGGCCAGGCATAAACTTTGTCTTCGGTGTCGAAAGGCACAAAGAAAACACCAACGGGGTCAGTGGCATAGGCTCTCAAACTTAGTACTCAGTGCCCGCTGATACTTAGAAACCTTTGAACTATAGCCCCAAATCCAGCATCCCCCCAGTGGGTGGTGCTGTGCACTATGGTGAACACTGGTGCGGAGCAAAAGCAGACCCTTGCCTCCTGACTGGTTCACCGATGCCCTTTGAATCAAAAGTGCCTCTCTTTTAATAGACCCATGAAGGCACTTTGTCAGCTGGGAAGATTTCTGTGACTCCAAGGTACTGGATTTTCACTATGGTCTTACATCCAGGGTCCTCTTGAGATGTGCCGGTCTGTGAGGGACACATGACCAAGCTCTCTGACAATCCCAGGAGGCATTAGGCCCTGTGCCCGAATTTGGGCTCTTACCATCTCCTTGAACAAGGATGTAGCCCTCATTTCCACCTAAGCCTGGCTTTAGAAGGGTCCCGCGTTCGGTTTCATGCTCTGCCGCTGCCATCTTGAAATGCTCCATCATGTTTGGGCCATGGACCCTACACCTTTATCTTGCACTGTTCCCCACAAATGAGGTAGCTGGTCCTGCTGCCGTCACCCTACGGGGGACTGGGCCACGAGGCCGGGGGGGCTGTTCTTTCCCATCAGAGGCAGACTGCGCAGGCACCAGGTAAACAGGAAAGGTGAAAGGTTTGTCCAGGAAAATGTTTGGAGGCCCGGTTTGCAAAGGACATTGGCACTCCTGTTTGCGCCTGCTTGATGTTCTAACAGCCCCTAGAGATGGCTCTGGACAGCCCGACAGATGGGCAGTAATGCCTGGCTTCTGGCAGGATGCCTGGGAGAGCAGGGCATTTCTGCAGGACGTACCTTAAGATTCATGCAGAGAACATAGCATCAAACCATGGCTGACGTTCACTTCCCTCTCTCTCCGACCTTTCTGGAAAATCATTGTGGGTGAGCGGTGAATTCTAAATGCTGACGTCTTAAGCCTCCTGCGGATTGGCCAAGTCTGTACTTCAATTTCTGCACATTGGCCCCACTCTGTGTTTTAGAGAATGTCCTGCCCAGCGTCTGTGATCAGCTCTACCACTTCCTTCTAAAGGAGGTGTGGGGTAAAGAGCCCTTGAGGGCATGCGGAAATGTGTGGGGGTGTCTTAGGCTGGTCACATTGTCTAGGGAACAGGGGGACTGTGTCACTGTAGGCAAGTGGTGGCTGGGGGGCGGGCAGGGATGCTAAACATCCCACCGTATGTGGGATGCTCACACCCAATGAAGACTGAGTATCCCCCAAATTCATATACCACCCCACCATCAAGGAGTGGGTACTGTCTCAGGGTCTTCACCACACTCTATTCCAGTAGCCCTTGTCAACCTCTGTGCACACCTAGAAGGCCCATGGAGCTGGACATCAGCAGCTCCTGTGTGTCCCTCTCTGACTGTGAATTCCTGCCTTGCTGGATCTCTTGGTACTGACTGCTTCTTGTTTCCTTGGAAACACCGGCCCGGCCTTTCCCTCCCAGTCCCCTGGCCCCTCCCTAAAAGGCTTAATCCCCAGAGACAAGTCTCGCTATCCTGCCCACCCCTTTAAGGATGGAAGTCTGCCCCTCAGGTAGAAATCTGCACCCTGAGATGCATACCCAAGAGAGAGATGAAAGAGGTCAATCTTCCCTGCCATTTTCCTCTGGGTTCAGTGTTTAAGTCTCTGAGCCGGGCCAGGAGGTTCCCATAACAGGTCGAGCCGTCTCCCACGTAGCCTTTCTGGCAAATGCACCTGCGGAGAGGAGGGTGAAAACACACGCTCAGGGGCTTTGGGCTATGGGATGTTCAGCTCAGGGCGGGGCTGAGACCATCCAGGTCTAGGCCTCATGTTACAGATGGAGACAATGAGGCCCCGAGTAGGATCGGGACCTAGGCCAGGAGGGGACAGGTGCCACCACCAGGGATCCCTCCCCAGAAGGATATACTAAGAAGTGCATCTCCAAAGACACAAGAGATTCCGCACCCCGCACCCCATATTCTTTTTTGTTTGGGCATCTTTTTTTTTGCAGTGTGTTCAAGGGAACATGCACCCTTGGAGATTTCTACAGAAAAGCTTGCAAAAGCCATAACCTGTGTAAAATGGAAGTTTGCCAGAGAAGGAACGCTCCAAACTAAGATGAGGTGGGTTTCCCTGAGTCAAAGGCAGAGAATGTGCAAGACCTAGAAGAATGGGGAACTCCACTCTGTTGAGTTTGGGCTCCCATAGGTTGCGCTGTATGAATGTGGCCCCCCCCCCCTCACCGCAGGGCACGCCGCAGAGTATACTGTTGGGGTTAGCCTTCAATGGTCAAGGTTTAGTATACGCTTTCCTCTTCCTTTTCCTAGTTAGGGACAGACCACTTAACCACTCAGATCCCTGCTCAGCAGATGCCTCCTCCGGGAAGCCTTCCTGGGTTGCCCGTCTCAGCCCACACTGCAGAGGAGGCTCCCCTATTGTGTGCTCTCCTGGCAGCATGTGCTCTTCCTCGTGTGTCACCCCCACTGTGAGCCTGCCCTGCCCAGGGTGCTCCCCCATCTAATCCGCCTGAGGGCAGGGGCTGTGCCTACGCTTGTTCTCTGTGGTCACCCCAGGATCTAGCCCAGGCCTTGGCACAAGGACGGCTCTTTGTTCATCGTTAGATGATCCGTTTTTGTGTTGTTGTTGTAGGTGCTGTCAAGTTGGTTCCAAGTCAGAGGGACCCAATGTACAGGAGCACGAAACACGGTCCAATCTGTGCCGTCCTCACACGTGTTACATTCGAGCCCATGGCTGTAGCCACTGTGTAGTCCCTCTCACCAAGGGTCTTCCTCTTCTTTGCTGCCTTTCATTTTACCAAGCACGGTGCCCTTCTCCTGGGACTGTCTCCCCTGAGGACACGCCCACAGCACGTGAGACCAAATCTCACCATCCTCGCTTCTCAGGCACATTCTTTTGGCAGTTCAGAATACATGGTCGTTGATCAACCATAAAAGTTACGGGCCTTTTATGAATAGTTGAGCTTTATAAAAAAGAGAAACTCATAGCATTAAGGATGAAACAAAAGGGCACACTTACACCAAAGGGAGGGGAAAAAAAGAAATCCATGAAACAGCAAAAACTAGCCATCGTCCTTAACTTGCTAAAAGTCCTAATAGGCGAGGCACTCTTGGGATCTTGGCCATCCCTGGGTGGAGCACAAGTTAACACGCTGCCTTCTCAGCAAAAAGCCGGAAGGTGAAATTCACCAAGTGGCTCCTTGGTAGAAAGTCCTGGAGATCTGTTATCAAAAAACCCGACACTGAAAACTCTGTGGAGCACAGCACAACTCTGGCACACACGGCGATGCCACGAGGCAGGTTGCCTTGATGGCAACCGGTGTTCTCCGTGCACTATTGGGAGCATTCTCTACACGGATCCTGGATTTATAGAGCGAGGCCTGCGTCCACCCCTGTTTCTTCTCCAGTTCCAGTTTGAACCCCCTGGAGAGTGTCTCACATTGCCAAAAGTCGTCTCAGAAACTTTCAGCATTTATTTGGCCTGTCACGTAAAAATAGTTTGGCACCTGCCCATCTACCATCTGGGTGCTTCAGTGTATAAAGGGAAAAGCAATACCAGAGGGGCAAACGTTGGGCACCACTGCTCAATTCATGTGAGCTTTCAGTCATGTGCTAGCTTGGGGGGCATAAAAATAGTCTATGCTCTAACAAAGTGGAATATCAATTGTCTAGAAGATGTTCTCTGACCATGGGGGTGTCTTCAATCCTACCTCACCTCCCTCAGCCTGGGGCAGCCATCCCTGTGGGTCTTTAGACAATACAACACAACACAACACAACACAACACAACACAACACAACACGTGCTTTTAAGTGTTTCCCCTGTGCCAGGCAGTGCTGTAGACACGAGAGAGCAGAGAAACATGTTCATCTTAGAGATTAGATCGAATGGTGTACAGCGAACCCCCTCTGGTTAATACAAATATTTCCTTGGCCGGATGATACCACTTATGGGTTTAGCTATTATTCTACCCAATAAACTCACTGCCATCGAGTCAATGCTGACTCATAGTGACCCCTGTGGGTTTCTGCCACAGTGACTGTTTACAGGAGTAGAAAGCCCAGTCTTCCTCCCACACGCTACCCAATACTTGTGTGCTATGTTTAGCCACCAAGGTACCGAGGGCAGTGGGGAGAAGACCTGATTTGTAAAGCTTGCTAATTCTCATGGTGTAAACACTCCTGCCATAGCCAGTTTCAAACGACCAACTTGAAGCCAACCCGCTGGCAAAAGTCTTGAGTATGCGCTCCTCATCCCACACGTCGTGGGACTCTATAATTTCTGGTTCCAGCACATCACTGCCATCTACCAAAAATGATCTGACAGCTGGCTGCAATGGACAAGGTGCTGAGGAAATCAACCACCCTCCGGAGCCTGGAGACAGGTGAGACCCCAGCCACCGCCCAGGAGGAGATCCTTTCAGAGGGAAGCGGACGCTGTGCTGTGACTGCTTCTGTGTTGCTGTGGGTGGACCGTACTGCAGATACAACTCATGCTTGCGAGAGTATTCCAAAGTATGAGTATACACTTATTAATCTTGCTGTGTTCCTAAATAAGGCCCCATACCAAGGAGCTGTATTTTCAACCAGTTGATTGAATAAAGATTTCAGGGTCTCATCACCCCTTGCCTGCCTGGCCTGCTGCCATGACTTTCTATCCGATGGTTCTGTTCGTTTGAGACCTTAAAACTGTAGGCTGCATGACTGTGATGATAGCCTAGTTTGAGACGCCCTCAAGTCTACAGGATGCACAACTGCCAAACAGAGTGCCGGGCGCCCGTGCAAGGAAACGCTCAATGACACAGACCACATTCCGGATCAGGTGCAAGTGCTTCGTGTACCACGATCACCCGGCAAAGTGATCCTGCTCACCCTCAGTCCCACATCTGTCCTTTCTGATCACCACTGCGAATCCCAGCTGCGTTTCTAAGTTGTGGCGGATTTTTCTAGCTGTTAGTTTAATCGGGAATGCCCTCTCATCCCACATTCTACAGCTCAGGGCTGATCTGCTCCCAGCAATTCTGATCACTTGATTCTCCCCAGAGAGGCAGAGTGCTGCCAGGGCCTCCTACGTGTACTGATTTTACTCCGCTCCACCAAAGAAACCTCTGGACGGTGTCTCTACTGCTGGCTGGGACAATCTCCTGGAACAGCGCTCCCACCTTAATTGCATAACTGCCCAGGAGCCAGGACAGGGACTGATGGTGAATTGATTACTCACCACCTCCTCTTCCACTTCTAGGGGCCCTGGTGATGCCATAGTTACGCCTGGCAGCTAACCAAAAGTTTGTCACCCTCCTGAGAAGGATGTGGCAACCTGCTTCCTTAAACAGTCCAGCCACTGGGACTCTACGGGGACAGTTCTATGCTGTCCTACAGGCTCACCAGGAGTCACAATCTGCTTCATGACAATAAGTTTGACTCGGTTTTCCCTTGGTGGCCTACTGGGTTAGGCGTTCGGCTGCTAACCACAAGGTCAATAGTTCAAAGCCACCAGCAGCGCTGAGAAAAAGACATGGTTTTCTACTTGTGTAAAGATCATCTTGGAAACCCACACGGGCAGTCCCACGCTGTCCTTTGGGGTCACTATGAGTCAGAGTTGATTTGATAGCAGTGAGGTGGTTTTGCTTTGGTTTTGGGTTTGGTGCTAGGTCAGAGTGCTACAAAGATGATAAAAACAGGTACCCTGCACTTTCAGACCTCACATGCTGGAGATGGACCTGAAAACTAATAATCACAGCAATTTCATAAGGCACCGAGAAGGCGCCGTGGTTAACGTGGTTGATTGCTAACCAAAAGGTTGGTGGTTTGAACCCACCATCTGCTCTAAAGGAGAAAGTCGTGGCAGTCTGTTCTCATTAAGATTCACCTTGGAAACGACCTGGGGCAGTTCTCCTGTCTTATACTGAGCGCTTATGATTTGAAATGGATTCCACGACAATAGGTTTGATCAAGTTGCTTCGTCTCCTTGAGCTCCAGCTTCCTCATCTGTAGAACGGGTGGTTTATAGAAGGTAAATGCAAGAAGACAGCTAATCCACCGTCACCTTGAGCTCCAGCTTCCTCATCTGTAGAACGGGTGGTTTATAGAAGGTAAATGCAAGAAGACAGCTAATCCACCGTCAGACACAGGAAAACTCAATAGGTATCAGATGCTGATGACTATGGCGACCAGGATGGCGACAACAGCAGGAACGAGAGGTCCTGGTAATATAGAAGGAGGCCACGTCCACCCACAGAACATTAGGTTCCATCGTAAGTGCCACCATAGAAAATGAAGTAGGAAGTCGCGGGGGCAGGGAGGCAGACTTTTGTCTCAAGAAACCAGGGAAGGCTTCTAGGAGGAAGTAACAGTTCAGCTAATGATTGGAGGATAATGATGGAAGCTTTCATCCTGGCACCAAGGATTAGGACATCTTCTGCTGATGGACTCTTCCGGGTTGTGAAGAAGCCGTGGCTCTCACTCAGGGGTGGGTTGATACGGTCTGAAGACATTTCTGGTGGTCACAGCTCTGGGCAGGAGGTGTGGGGGCCAAGGTGCTCTTGATGCCATTGCTGGCAGGTGCTGGTGAGTCGATTCCGACTCATGGAACCCTGACAGCAGACTGAAACGTCCGTTAACTATCTGACTACAGATTATTTTCTGTTGTTAGGCACCATCTAGTTGGTTCTGAAGGACAGAAATCCTACTCACAACACAGGGGAGTGCAGTCTTCACCTCTGCTTCTCTGCATGAGCTCATTGTTGAAACCACTCATTGAAGATGCTCTTTGTATTCACCGGCTCTTGCCTTTCCCAAGCGTGATGCTCTTCTCCAGGGACCGACCCCTCCTGATCATATGCTCGCAGTGTGCTGCCAGCCTCACGTTTAAGGAACATTCTCTTTCTCCCAAGACAGACTTGTTTGTTTACTTAATAGTCTTCACCAGCAGAGTAATTCAGAGGTGCCAATTCTTTTTTGATCTGCTTCGTCTAGCTTTCATATGACTATGAGGTGATTGAAAATACCGTGGCTACTGGTAGCTAATGGGTAAACCAATCAAATTTATAGCCATCGAGTTAATGCAGTTCTCAACCTGTGGGTTGCGACCCATTTGGGGGTTGAATGACCCTTTCACAGGGGTCGCCTGATTCATAACAGTAGCAAAATTACAGCTATGAAGTAGCAACAACAATAATTTTATGGTTGGGGGGTGGTCACCACAACGTGAGGAACCGTATGAAAGGGCCACGGCATTAGGAAGGTTGAGAACCACTGAGTTAATGCCAAATCATAGTGGCGCTAGAGGACAAGGTGCAATATAGACGTCTTCAAAGGCTTGCCTCAGGGCCTCCGCTGCAGCCTCAGTATCAGAGGACAGAAGAGAAATGAAGACTTCCCCACGCTCAGTACTCCTACTTCCTCACTACTAGACCTCCCTCCTCAGCCCTTCCCCACCACCCAGGGTCCATGAAACTGCGGGAGCCTTTGGTTCAAAGATCCTTCTGCAGTGAGATGATCCATCTGACCCGTGTGAGGGATCCTTCCTGGGGAAGTATGGAACAGGGGACACAGGCGCCATTCCCCAGGTCTGATCTCTCGCTTATGTGGTTGCAGCGCATGATTCAAGCCTTGACCGTCACATTCATTTTGGCCAGTTGTAAAGGTCCCTCAGCCCTGGCAGCTCATCTCAGCAATATCAGCTCATCTCCCTGGCAGTACGTTACCCAGCAGCACTAAAGCCAAGGTTGTGCTTTTCTGAGGGATGTCAAGAAAATGCTAGTCTTAGACCAAGTAGGGCCTTCAATGCAAAGCAAAGAAGGTTATATTTCTTCCTGCACATGGGCATCCAGAGGATGTTAAGTGAGGAAAAACAGTTGACTATGTATTATAGAAAGAGCACCTGGACAGCTCTGTGGAGGTAGGTTTTTTGGGAAGGCAAAATGGGTACCAAGACTTGGGTTCTAACCTTGGGTTCGAACTGCCACAACTGAAAACAGGTTACCCAGCATCTTGCAACACAGCGTGTGGACTACAGCTGTATGCGGCTTCCAAAGGGCTTTCAGAAACGCTCTCTCACAAAATCCTCACAACAACCCTGTGAGGTAGATATTAGTTTTCCTCTTTTATTGATGCAGAAACTGAGGCCGGAGAGATGGTGTCACTTTCTCAAGGTCTTGCACTTCGAAGGTATGAGAGGGATTCATGGAGGAGACATGGTGGCCTAGTGATTAAAGCACTTGGCTATGAACTGAAAGGCCGGTGGTTTGAACCCACCAGCCATTCAGTGGGAGTAAGATAAGACAGGCTGCTTCTGTAAAACATCTCAGCATTGGAATTACTGAGGCAGCGTTCCTTACTCCCAGAGGGTTGCTACGAATTTGAATTGATTTGGTGGCAATGGGTTTGTTTTGGGGTGTGTGGTCATGTCTTGGGCTGCTAACTGCAAGGTCAGCAATTTGAAACCATCAGGTGATCTATGGGAGAAAGGTGAGGCTTCCGACTTCTTAAAAGGTTACTCTTGGCAATGAATGTACAGATGAGCTTTGCACAATTGATGTATGTATGGATTATGATAAGAGTTGTATGAGCCCCTAATAAAATGATTAAAAAAATATAAAAGAGTTATACTCTCAGAAACCCACAAGGGCAGTGCTACCCGATCCGATAGGGTTGCGATGAGTCAGAATCAACCCTATGGCAGTGAGTTTTTGGTTTTTTGTTTTGGGTGGGGAACTAACCCAGATTCTTGTGTGTGTTCGGTATAGGCTTACATAGTCGTTTAAGCTCTCAATTAATAATTTCCACACCAATTGTTCAGGGACATTGGTTACATTCTTCAAATTGCGTGAACAGTCTCCTTATTTCTCTCTGTTTTTCCTGTTTCCATTCATCGTGTTCCCCTGCCTCTTCTTATTCTCATCCTTATCTTGAAGTAACTCTTGACCGTTTGGTCACATCTCAGTGATCTTTTAAAGGAGCACAGCACTTAGGGTGGTACTCATCTGAGCCAATTTGTTGTTTAGCGAAAGGTGACCTTGGGGTTAGTCCTGATTCAAAGCTTGCAGGCTATCTCAGGGCAACAGTCTTAGGAAACCATCAGTCTCAACTAGTCTAGTATATCCACCACCACCCCTCCCCCGCCCCGCCACAGATCTTAAAACTCCCAATGTCCTCTCCTTTCCGCCGCCTCTACCTCAGGAATTTTCCTACAAGTATCTTTATTCACAGACAATCTCAAACCCAGAGTCCAGGAAACAACACTCCTATGCTTTCTCTAGTCTCGTTTTGTATCACTGACAGGTGATAGTTCATGATCAAGAAAACAGGCATATATGGTAATGGCCAACGCCTGGTCAGCTGGACAAACATTTGTTTTCTCAGTGGTTTCCTTGTCCCAGACTCCGACTATTTCAGACCAGGGCTTGCAGGCCAATATTCCAGAGTATTCTAATGACTGTTATAATGGAAATACTGTGGAGTGATTCATTGGGTTACACAAAGATTTATTGAGAACCCACTGTGTTCCTTGCATTGTGCTATGTTATATGGAGGTAGAAGGCTGCATGAGGCACATTTCTTACTGTTCAGGTACTTACAGCATTGACAGGCCACCACTTTATCCACTTTGAAAAGATGATGTGGAACTGAAAAGACTTACTCTGTTTGGCCTGGTGCGATGGTGGTACAGTTCGCATTCTTGTGACAGGAGTTATTTGATTCACAGATATCGATCATGTCGCACCCCACTCCAGGTACAAAATTGTGGAAATGTTCCTTACACTCACAGTGAGACTTCAAGGAAGAAAAACAAACAGGGCTCTTGTTAGTCACGTATGCTGACATTCATCTTTAGTTAATGGCTTTATTCTGCTATAAAGACTAACTCAGCGGGTTAAAAGATTTACCCTAAAACATCTAAGTACTCAAATGTGGAAATTATATTGACCTATCTATGTCATCTTTTGGGAAGTTCAGACATTTTGTTTTCAAAGTTTAACTCTTCAGTCTAACCTTTGGCTTCCTGACTCCATAATTCTTGGTTTTAGGCTGTCTACAGGCAAGCAGAGATTGAGGTTCAGATGGAGATGTGGTTGACCTTGAACTGTGGCTTTCAACCGAGGGTCTCAACCCAGGGACACTGAGTAATGTCTAGAGACCTTTCTGAAGGTCCCAACTGGAGGGTGTGGTGCTGCTGCATTTGTGAGACCAAGGAAGTTAGCCTGTGCTGTGCACGGCGGCCTCCACAACGAAGATTGGGCCCCTGGAGTCATCGCTATGACTCAGAAAGGAAGACATCCTCTGGAAGAGTGGGGTGCGTGACTGCTGTGAGAACAATGCAGGTTTCTAGGCCTTGAAAACCTGCCTTTGGGCCCCGTTTTAAAGAAACAAAGGCCATTTTTATTTTAATCTCATTCTCAAGACCAGAAGGAGCTCTGTTGGTGTAGTGGGTTGGGCTGCTAAGCTCAAAGTCAGGAGTTTGAACCCACCAGCTGCTCCGAGGGAGAAAGATGAAGCGTTCTGTTCCCATACAGATTCCCTGCCTCAGAAACTCACCGGGACAGTTCTACTCTGTCCTGTAGGGATGCTATGAGGTGGAATCGATTTGATGGCAGTGGGTTGACCAAGTCTTGGTGCTGGGATGTAACATGCCCTTCTCCCTAAGGGTCTTCATGTTGAGGGTGAGAATTCAGCCCCCTGCAGTGCTCTTTGCTCTTTGGGGTAGGGTGGGGGTAATAGGCTGATTTTCTGCAGGAGCTTCAGTAATGTTCTCCCTGGGGTGCTGACTAGCCCTCAGGGCATCAATGACTGTGTTTGGGTGGTGTAATAAGACCTTTAGTCCTACCCACATAACATCGTCCTTCTGGAAGGTTGGTCTCTTCCCCATAAGGCTCAATGACCAGCCATGGATGCAGTGGGCCCCCACTCAATGTTTGATGATTCAATGAGGTCTGAGGCAATGGTCTCTTTCAACTGGTTGCTCAGCAAGATTCTCCCAATCAGGCTGACTTTTCCTGGTGGGACTGTTGGATAAGCGTTGGACTGCTGACCACAAGATCAGCAGATGAAATCTACCAGTGTTGGACAGCAGTTCAAACCTCCCAGCTGCCCCGCAGGGGAACGATGAGGCTATCTGCTCCCATAAAGATCCACAGCTTCCAAAAACCGATACAAGGTTACTATGAGTGAAACTCGACTTGATGGCGCTGGTTTTGTTTTTATTACGTATTTAAAACAAGAAGTCAAGGTGGGCAACCCAGGCCATGAGATGACTTACAGAGGCAGGGTCTCTTTCCTGAATAGGCTCCCTGCTCCCGACACCCTGTCAGGGCTGCCTGACATGTAATCCCTTTCCATTCCTTCAGGTCATTTGTTTTTCTTCCCCTTGGCTGTTGTTCTAAGAAAGAGGAGCTGATACCAAGGGCTCAAGTAGAAAGAAAATGTTCAGAAAGGATGATGGCAACATATGTCCAAGTGTGCTTGATACAACTGATGTATGGATTGTTATAAAAGCTGTAAGAGCCCCCAATAAAATTTAAAAGAAAAAAACACACTGAAAAAAATCCCCTTTTGAGATGGGAAGAAATCAAGGAGAATCAGAGATAGCAGGGAAAATTAGCTCTGGGTTAACCTATGATGTGGTTAACAGTTAATGCAACTTACCTGGGGTTCTTTTTTGTAGATTTTGTCATAGACTGCGATTGAAGAGAACATGCCAAACCCAGCCAGGCCCGTTGCCGTGGAGCCAGTTCTGACTCCTAACAGCCTGATGTGGGGTTTCTGGCTGTCAACCTTTATGCAAACAGCCAGGCTCCTCTTTCTCCCACGGGCAGCTGGTAGGTTTGAACTGCTGCCCAACACCAAGCCCATAGCGTGCCACCTGGGCTGCTTAGAAGAGAACATAGAGTAGCTAAGCTTCCGCTGGAAGCTGGGAGCATGTGAGTTCAGAGGAGGAATTGGAAGAGAGGTGGACTGAAGTCTGAGGGATATGCGGCAAATGTGTGTGTGTGTGTGTGTGTGTGTGTGTGTGTCAGCACGAGTCCTGGGAGAACAAGCCAACATTGAGCAGCAAGTGGGAGGGTGGGGACACCAATGGCACCATGTTAGTTTTAATGGATGTTCCATTTCCCCTAACACACCTCAGGCACGCACCTGTCCAGGCCCATCATACTTGCACACGGTTGACTTGGTAGGGCAGTCTCCAAAGCTCACTTGGCAAGGGTCTACTGGTAAGCACACTTGGCCATCCCCACGGTAGCCTTCTTCACAGGTACAGCTGTGCTGATTGGGTCCCAGGTATGTACAGCGAGCATGAAGGTGGCAGATGTTTTGTGAACATGGGTTGATGGCTTGAGAGACAGACAGAACAAGGGACAGTCATCACACTCAGGGATGGGATAGAAAATCACGGCGCATCAAACTCTCAGATGCAACACAACAGAAAAGGAACATTTCTTTCATCTCACTTTACCACTCTCAAGAGCTCTGGTGGGGTAATGAGTTGCAAGCTGGGCTGCTAACCAAAATGTCAGCAGTTCAAAACCACCAGTCACTTTGCAGAAGAAAGTTGAGACTTCTGGTCCCATAGAGATTTGCAGCCTCAGGGACCCGAAGCAGCAGCTTTCCACTGTCCTCCAGGGCTGGTCTGAGTGAGAATTGGCTGTAGCAGGGAGTTTGATTGGGTTTGGCTCTATGACTCTCACCTCCCTAAATATTTTATATGACGTCATCACCGCTAACTCCAAGGGAGGCAACTCATCTACCCAGAGGTACCTTGGAGGTAAAGCCTGGTGATCGGCTTCTAAAAGGTCCCAGCCTTGAGAACCCCTCGGGGGAGGAGCTCTACTCTGCACACCCGAGGACACCACAAACCAGCATTGACTCGAGGGCAGCCATCAACAACACAAGAAATTCTAGCTACAAGTATTGTGCTGCTGTACAGCTTCCCATGTTTTATATGGGATTAAATATAAAAGAGTTTGAGGGAAAGCACTAGTGTTTATAAGTACAAGGGGCTACCCCCCAAAATCTGGAATTGTGCTGGGCAGAACAACGGAGCTTTCTCAGTACACATTTTTCCTGCTAGGTGAGCATCAAGCAACTCGTTTTGAGTTAGTGCACCCAGTAGCATTGCCTGGGAAGGTTCTCTTTGGTCATCGTGAATTTTTTCATAAAAGCAGTTTCATTTGAACCTTGGTTTTTTTTTTTTTGTGAGGGCTAATTTAAGAGAACAGCATGCGGCTATGAAATTTTGTTGCTGCAGAAATTTGTGATGTTGAAAGCAGATTACAGGACAGTGCTATGGCAAAAACTCAAGTGTACAAGCAGTATTTTTTTGTTTCACAAAAGGTGAAATGTCGATGGATGACAAACCTCATTCTGGACGTCCGTCAACTTTCTGAACGAATGAAAATGTCAACTCAGTAGTGCATTTGGAGGTCATTCCACTAGATCAGACTGTTAATCAAGCTTCCTATTTAGAGATTCTGAAAAGATTGTGTAAGAGTGTGCAACAAAAAGGCTTGGTTTGTGGCAGACAGAGGACTGGTTTTACCACTATGACAATGCACCTGCTCACACAGCCATCTCAGTGAGACAGTTTGGGGCAAACAACAGCATCCCTCTCTTGCCCCACACACCTTACTCACATGACCTCACTCTGTGCGACTTCTTTTTGTTTCTGCAAATGAAGAAGGACATGAAAGGACAGCAATTTGATGACTTAAAAGAGGTGAAAAAATGAGGGCGGTGCTGTCAACCATTCAAACAGATGAGTTTGAACACGGTTCCAAGAATGGACTTGTAGATTTGACCAATATATTAAGTGTAATGGAGAATACTTTGAAGGTGATAAGTTGTTTTGTAAAAAAAATTTAAATACATAGCTTTAAAAAAATTCCATTTTGGGGGGACTCTTTATAATATATGTTATATACAATACATAATACATATCAATATATAAAAGGAACCTGATATATTATCGATGCTATATAAACATATACTATATGTGTTATCCCTGGTGGTGTAGTGGTTACACTTTGGGCTGTGATCCACGTGGCCAGCAGTTCAAAACCACCAGCAGCTCTGTGGGATAAGACTGGGCTTTCCACTCCCATAAAGAGTTAGAGTCTTGGAGATTCACAAAGGGTCTCTGTGAGTCAGTCAGTCAATTGCAGTGATGTTGGTTCATATAATATATTAAAAATATATAAATGTAATACAAATATAAATCTATAAATATATATTACATTAGAAATATTATATATATATTCAATTCTTACATATAATCCTCTAAGATCAAGATAACTATTGTCCCTGTTTGATAAATAGGAAAGCTGAGGAACAGGAGGTTTGCAGAATTTTGTCTGGGGTTTGAACCCATGGAGTCTGGCTCTAGAGTCCTGAATCTTAATGAGTACACAGTACATCCTCTCATAAAATGAATGGGCATGGAAAGGAAAAAGAAAAAGTAAGAAAACGAAAGAGGAAGCACTATATTTCATGCTAATATCAATTTACTAAAAAACCCACTAACCTCACTGCCATCGAGTTGATTGTGACTCACAGTGACCTTATAGGACAGGGCAGAACTGGCCCTATGGGTTTCTGAGGTTGCTGCAATGCCTTCTGGGAGTAGAAAGCCTCATCTCTCTCCTGTGGAGTAGTTGGTGGGACTGAACTGCTGACCCAACTCGTAACCCACCACACAGGAGGTATAAAAATCTTCCTATGCACTTTCATAATAGAGAAATTTCCTGGTATTTATTGAACTAGCACCACAAAATGAACATTTTGCTCGGCACTTTACAAATATTCTACTCAATTACACACAGAAACAGAAATGACCATGGTGTTAGGACGGGAAAGACTGGGAGGGTGTCTTCCTCTTGTGAAATGATCTCGAGATCACTTATAATAAAAATGGGTGCATCTGACCCAGACTCACGCGCGCAGTGGGCTCCATCGCCTCGGTAACCGGGAAGGCATTTGCACTGCAGTCTGGCTTCATCTTCACCGGAAGGTGCGCATCTAGAATTTTCCGGGCAGAGCAAGGCCGCACATTCGGGGAGGGCTACAGAGGAAGACGCATTACAGGACCGGCATCAGGTGACTTAAGTAGCATCTACAGACATCCTTTTATCATGAAAGTATTGGAAGGGCCTTTTTTATCCTTACAGCCTTATTATCAGCATTCAAACATACAGGGTGTACAGTCCACCCGGTCTTCAATTCCCATTCCTAAAACAACCAATGGACTGTGTTCCTATGTGGGTGCGTCTCCATGACTTTTAATAAAATGAAACCTCGTTACAATACCCAGCAACGTGCTTTTTAGTTTAACCACCCATTGAGGCAGTCTCCATCTGTCCTCACTGCCCAATACTTCGCAATGGAGTTGCTGCCGAGGCAGCTGCCGAGAAAGTGAAGGAAGTGTTATGCTGCGTGCAAAGTGAGTGAGCTCGGTTGATGTGGGTTCATGGGTGCTGATCAAAGATATTAAGGTCCTGAGTCATATGAGAGGGATAATTTATTGCTCACAGCACCATACAGTATCCAGAGTAACTTTGGGTCTTGTACTAGTTCTCCCAGCCCCATAACCCTTAGGCCAATGGGAAGAGGGCCCTTGACCCCTGAAGGCCCAGTGGCTTGCATTCAAAGAGAGGAATCCTGATCTTAGGGATATCTGTCATTTTAAAATTTCATTTTAAGGAAAGTGTGTATTGACAGTTAGGATCCAGGCAAGAAACAGAAGGCACACAATGAGTTTAACAAGCCACATTGAATACCCCCATTCTGTTCCTGTGGATCTGCCTCTCACTACTAAACCATGATAGTCATGGTTCAGTCAGAGAAACCTAATCCACAAGGTTATAAGCAACACACAGATGATTCAATAGATGATACCATCTATCTGAGTCCATGAGGGATGGGAAAATTTCATTTATTTAGCTGCTAACCAGGAGGTTGGCTGTTTGAGTTTACCTAGATGTACCTTGGAAGAAAGGACTGGCGATCCACTTGTGAAAAAAATCAGTCATTCACAGCCCTATCATCAGGAGGCCAGGACTCAGAATCGACTTAATGACAATGATTTTGGGGTGCTTTCAACAACATGAGCTCAGACTTGTAAAATTGGAATCTCATCCAATTCTTTCATCTTGCAGACCGGGCAGGATAACATTTAGAAGTTAAATTAAACCAGGATTCTGTCACAGGTATAGTGCTCAATCTCTTAATCTGTGTGCCTCTCAGCTCCACTTCAAGCCCTCTACTCTAAGCTCTAAGAGTCCCAGTGGCTTAGTGGGCTGCTCACCTCAAGGTGAGCAGTTCAAAACCACCAGCCAGACCGAGGGAGAAAGATGAGACTTGGTCTCTCAAAAAAAGAGCGACCATTTCAGAAGCCTTCAGAGGCAGTTCTACCCCACCCTGTTGCGGTCAGGAGTTGTCAAGTTGGTTCCAACCCACAGGGACCCTGTGCACAACAGAATGCCTGGCCCTGCGCCAGCCTCACCATGCTTCTTAGGTTTGAGCCCCTGGTTGCAGCCACTGTATCCATCCATCTTGTTAAGGATCTTCTTCTTTTTGACCGGCCCTCTACCAAATCCCTTTTCCAGGGACTGTTCTCGGCTGATAACATGTCTAAAGGATGTGAAACATGATATCCTGCCCTATATTGCCAATGTGAGTTGGAATCAACTCGATGGCAGTGAGTTTGAGTGTTTTTTGTTTGTTTGTTTTCTGTATGTTTTGCTCTAGTGAATTGAAGCAGCCCTGGTGGCATAGAGGTTACACATTGCAAGGTCATAAGCTTGAAACCACCAGCCACCACTTGGGGGAGAGACAGGGTGCTCTATTCCCATAAAGCATTACAGTCTCGGGAACTCACAGAGGCAGTTCTACCCCCCTGCCCTATAGGGTCACTATGAGTGGGCATGAATTCCATGGGAGTGAGTTGAGTGCCCTGGACTCCTTTAGCATTTCTCTCTAGTGAGATGATAAATTTTGCCAGCAGAGGGCGAAAGAGCACCATGTATGAAGAAGGGGCTCCACTTGGATGTTGGCTTGCTGCAGCTGCATTGTGCAGGTGACACCCTGTGCTTATGTGACACCCTGTGCTTCTGAACCTCTCCCTTCCCTTCTCTTCCATCCCATTTTCTCTTCTTCCCCTCCTTTCCATCTTCTTTCATCCCCCCCGCACCCCCTTACATACCCACCCCCACACCCCCACACCTTCCTCTTTTTCAGTTCTGATCTCCTTTGGCAAAGCCTTCGATAGGGCATCTCGGTCTTAGTACACGCACCTACCACCTGTCTGCCAGGGGACGCAGCAGTCAAGAGATCAGAAGACGTGTTGCATGGGATAAATCGGCTGTACAAATTGAACAGCAAGGATGTTACTTTGAGGACTAACGTGTGCCAGACCCAAGCCCTGGCATTCTCCACTGCTTCTTATGCAGGTGAAAGTGGGGCACTGGATACGGAAGATGGACGGAGAATGGATGCATATGATCTGTGGTGCCGGCGACGAATATTAAAAGTGCCATGGACTGCTCAGAGGACAAATCGACCTGTTGCTGGAAGAAGTAAAGCCAGAGCGCTCCTTAGAGGCAAGGCTTCTTACACACTACGAGCATGTTGTCAGGAGAGACCAGTCCTCGGAGAGGGACATATGCTGGTAAAGTGGAGGGGCAGCAAGAAAGAGGAAGGCCCTGAAGGAGAGGGACTGACACAGTGATTGCAACCATGGGCTCAGGCACAGGAACCATGGTGAGGAGGGTGCAGGGCCGAGGCGTATTTCGTCCTGTGGGGCATCAGGTCACTGTGGGTCAGAACCGACTCGATGGCACCTAGAACCAAGCACCAAGCGGCACATGCACACACAGTTGGAACGCAGATGTCATTGCTGTTGGCTCAGCGGCAGGACTTACGCTCGCTACAGTTGGTCCCGGTGTACGCGGAGTCGCACGCACAGGCCCCGTTGCCGTGGATTCCACTGTTGCACTGTCCATGGACACAGTTGCACACTGAGGACAGAAAACGGGGATCCTCATTACCAGGCACAGACTTCTTCCAGAGTCTGGAAGGATAGTTTTCCCTGAGAACCCGCATGATCATGTGGGGGAAAACCAAGGATTCAGACGTATGCAGAATCCCCTGGGGGTCTTGCCAAAATGCAGATTCTGAATAATTGTATCTGGGGTAGGAAAGCAAGTTCTCAGCCACGAGATGAACTTGAACAAACTGGTTCAAAGCCCCGGGTGGAAGTCCTAGAGACCTGGTCCGAATCGTGGGTTCATTTTCTTTCTATTAATCTCAGTTTCTTTATGTATAACATATGGACAAGGGCGTCTGCCTTATGGGATTGCTCTTGAGTTAAAGGAGATAATGTACATCAGACAGGGGTGGAGACGATTGGTCCATGAACCACCTAAAGCCCCCAAAATCATCAAGACCAGTGAGCACCAGACATCTCACCACTGAGAAGCAGTTCCGGCATCACATTAAGGGTGAGCTAATGAACTATTCAACAGTATGGCCCAAGGATGATGTTGTTAATATGCAAATGGCCCTTGGCAGGAAAAAGGTTCCCCAGCCCTGAGTAAGGCATACTTGGTACATCAAGTGTACTGCGGTTCCTTTCTCTGAGTTACTTTACCTTTGGCTTTTTCAACCAAAAAGTTAACTTAATGCCTCACTTGTATTAACCTGTCACGCTTAAAGGAGAAACGCTATTGTTGACCCCTTCACCGTGGGTTAGATGGACTCTGGGCTAAGAAATCCTGTTTCCAGAAGGACAGGGCAATGCAGGCTTACAGAGGAAGTCCAGAATGGTAGCTAGTAACTCTGCCAGAATTTCTAGTTTGAGAGAGATGCTGTCCCAGTCCAGGATAGACACCTTCTGGACGGACAACGGAAGGTTCTTGAAATGAACGGTCAGCATTTTAGCCTCCAGTTTGTGGCTCGTTTATAGCAAGATTTCATGGCCAGGATGGGTCACCAGCATCTCACGTCCAGCTCTCTGAAAGGCAGGCTGTACCCGTTTTCTGCAGCTGCTCTAACAAATAATCACGCACTTAGAGGTTTGAAATAATATAAATCTACTCTTATTTTATGGTTTTGGAGGTCCAAATCTCAAATGGGTCTCCCTGGGCTCAAATCAAGGTATTGGCAGACCCCAGGACCTTCAGGAAGGCTCTAGGGGGGATCTATTTCCTTGTCCTTTGCAGCTTCTCAAGGCCAACCACCCTCTCTGGTTTGTGGTTCCTTCTGGGCATCATGAAAGTCAGCCCTGTTGGGCTGAGCCCCTTTCTGAATTCCACTTTGCCATGTAACTTAACGCATTAACCGGTTCCTGGCAGGTGGGCATAAGCCAATCTAACACAGCTCAGGTGAAACACACTGAAGAAGATACAACTGCTTAGATACCTAACTGAACCCCAGACATGTCGTTGTGAGGTGCCATCGAGCTGGTTCAGACCCATCGCGACCCGAGGCACAACAGAAGGAAACACTGCCCGGTCCTGCTCCATCCTAGAGTTGTTCCTGTGCTTGAGCCCACTGTTGTAACCACTGCCTCAACCCATCTCATTGAGGACCTTCCTCAGGTTTGCTGCTCTTCCGATTTACCGCATGATGTCCTGCTCCGGGACTCCTCAGGAAAGCCAGGATTAGTTTAAAGTATCCTAATCATCTACTGACGCCCCCAAGTCCTGCATTCGTTGTCTATGATGCCTCTTCCCTCTGAAGGGGCCTGGTGGCACAGGCCTTCAAGCGTGTGTGATTGCGAACTGCAAGGTCAGTATTTTGAACCCATCACCTGCTCCATGGGAGAAAGGTGTGGCAGTGTGCCTTGTAAAGATTGGGTCACTATGAGTTGGATTAAACCACAGCAGGACACTGTTTTGGTTCAGGCTGTTATTGGGGTTTGTCTGGATTCTAGCATTGTACTTGATCTCCCCATTTCCAGTTTCTTACCTTTACATTCCACCCTCTTCATTTGGTTCGCAGTTGGCCTCAGGATGACAGTCCCCAGAGTAGCCTGGTGACTTCCTATTTCTAACCAAATGAAATCTACATCCTCAATTTGGCAAACTGGACCCCAAGATTGAAAATAAGTTTTTCAGGTTTACCTTCTACCATTTCATTATTTACATGTTAGGGGACAAGCACAATGTGCTAGCCCACCCTTCTTCCATTAAAACACTTACCATATATACTTGAGTATAAGCCGACCTGAATATCAGCCGAGGGACCTAATTTTACCACAGAACTGCATTAAAAATGTGCTGGAAAAACTGGGCTTATACACGAGTTTATACGGTACTATGTCCAGGGCACTGTGCTAGCCACGAGCGAACCAATAGAAACAAGACAAAGCTCTTGCCCTCCAGGAGCACACAGTTTGCTGGTATAAGAAAACAGCCAATCACAACACAGTGTGATAAATGCCAGGGCATGATGGACCAATGGAAGGAAGTTACCCAGGAAGAGGTGAAGCTGGGATCAATGGAAGGAAGTTGCCAAGGAAGAGGTGAAGCTGGGACCAATGGAAGGAAGTTGCCCAGGAAGAGGTGAAGCTGGGCTGGTCCAGGCACCTTGGGTGCTGTCATGTGGTCCATGGAAGGAAATTTTATATGTATATATATCTCAAACCCATTGCCTTCAAGTCCATACTGATTCACAGAGACCTTATAGGACAGAGTAGAACTGACCTATAGGACTTCTAAGACTGAATCTTTATGGAAGCAGACCGCTGCATCTTTCTCTCATGGAGCAGCTAGTGGGTTTGAACCGCTGACCTTCTGGTTAGCAGCCTTTTAACCACTGAGACACCAGGGCTCATTCCTATGTGTACACAGGATCATAATTGCTGCCCATATTTCCAGTTCTTTGGGAGGGGGCATCTAATGCTGCCCAGCTTGGGATTTCTATCACTTATCTACCAAGGAGCCCTGTCTGGTCCTGTGAAGATTTCCCGTCTCTGGAACCTTAAGGAGCAGTTCTTTTCCGTCATGTTGTATGGCTGTGAGTTAGAATCTGCTGAATGCAGGAGGGTTGGCTTAGTTTTGGCTCAAGGGCCCCATTTGGTAGATACCTGAAATGCTGCACTGCTTCGGGACTCAGGCTCTGGAATCCTATAGACCTGAGTTCAAATCCCACTTCTGCCCCTGGAATAGTTTCATGACGTTGGACGTTCTGTTTCTTCAACCATGGAATGGGGAGCCCAGCTCAATGAGCTGTGAGGATCTAACGAGTGTATGCCTCCGCACACTCCTGTCAGGGCACACTGATTGCTCAGCAGAGGCCAGCCATTAGGATGAGCAAGATGTGATTGTGGGAGGCACTGATGGGGATTCGTGATGGAGAAGGGGGCATGGGCTGTGCATTCTGTCTTAATCACAAGGCACTAAGCTGGCTAGGGCATGTGGCAGGGGAGATGACAGCCCTGGCTTCTCTAGCTCTGAATCATCCCTAAAGTCATCAAGAGGCTGCGCCGGCAGCAAGTTAGAATAAATGTTAAAAAATAAAGCTGTTCGACTTCGCGACAACACTGCCCCCTCTGTGGACTCACTCCTCATTTGGATGAAACGCTGGTCCCCAGTGGACGCCCAGATGAAAAGATCTGTAAATTCCCTTAGTCCTCCTTACCAAAGGGCAATGACCAGATATCACTGTGCCATTCACTCACTCCTTCATTCACTCTTAGGTGACTTGCTTACTGTTGGGTTGCCTTTGTCCTCCCCCAAGACTCAGTCCCATTGAATGTTTTGCTTCACGCTGCTAAGCGTTTTGTTATGATGTCCACGAATGAGGCCAGGATCCTTTCTGTTGTATGGATGGGTGAGGAAGGCTATGGAAGGTTACATAGGTCACAGAGCCAGTGGAGTTGGCTTCAAATTCAGGCCAGTCTGATTTTAAAAACTATTCATGCAATCATGAAGTTCTAGAGCAGCATTGCCCAATGTAGTAGCTATTGTATTTCCCCCTCTTACCAACATATTGATGACTCAAAAATTAGACTTACCTGACGAACAGTTTGGTCCAAATAAGTTGTCATCAGCGCAGGCTTCACAGGCTGTTCCTACAAATCCTCCCTACAAAACACTCCAGGTAGATGACACTTGGCCAAACATGGTCTCATATGCAACCTAGCTAGCCGCTGGATGCCTGACTGGTTGTGATAGTTAGGTTTTGTGTTAACGTGACTGGGCTAGGATGCAGTAGTTCAGCAGTTGAGGTCTCTCCCATGATGTGATCTAATATAATGTAAACAATTCCATGCTGGGATCTGGTGTGAGCAGCCAAGCAATTGTGGGAAGATTGGGGTGGCGTGCAACCCCTTACTCAGTTCACAGACCTGAAGATGTATCTGCAGGGGTGTGACCTGCTTCAGATATAAGCAGATAAGGTAGAGAGCTCCTTTTCTTCTTTGCCTTTGGCTGGTCTGGATCCTGCACCTGGCTCAGCAACCTCTGGTTCTTTGGAGGTGAGCCAACTTGTCATATTGCCCGTCAACCCTGGGAGCCATCAGAACCTTGCATTGGACCTAGCAACTTTGGATTCATCCAACATCTTCCTGCTTCCTGGTTCATCAGCCCCTACAGCAGCTATAGGAGTCAGGAAAAACCTCCAGCTTAACATGTGACCCGTGGACTTGAACTGGACGGGAATGACCCAGTTCTATCACGTGTGGGCCATTTCTTGATGCAAATTCCCTTCTAGGTGCATGCATATGTAAGCACCCCCGGTTTTGCTTATTTAGGGAACCCAGGTGTGCCCACCGGTCCCCTGCTCAGCTTTTGTTCCCCAAGCATCTCTTCCCCTTGCCTTTTCCGAACCTCTTTCTTTTGGTTTCCTTATTTTGTCTTCGCTGTGCTACTGTGTGTCCATTAATTCCTCTGTCCCTTTTCACTAAGGGTCTGCAGCGCAGCAGAAGCGAGCCGCTTTGTCAGGGCAAAGGTGCAAAGAGACAGCCAAGGATGAGAGATGTGGCACCAGCTCTCCGCAAGGAGAGAGATGCTTTCAGCGAGCACTGCCTGTCCTCCAGAAGTCTTTCTGTGTATTTCACCCCCACCCCCCAGACCCGGACTGCACAGCAAGTCACCCTCATGAGTGAACAAAGAACTTCTACAGCTGCAGGACTAGCCCTTCCCAAAGGGTGCCGTGGGCTGCACCAACGAGTGGTCAGCCAACAGTGACGGTGACCAGCGGTAACAAGACAGCCATTTCGAGTTTCACAAAGGCACAAATGTGAGCTCATTTCAATTGAGCCCCAAGCATGATTGCGGAGACATTAATAGCCAGCTTCCAGTGGAACATAATTAAGGCTGAGCAGTGAATTGAGTGTGAGCATATAAGGAGGCTTCAAGACATTTCCTTATCTTTCAAGTCCCCTAGGAGCCCTGGTGTCATGGGGGTTCCAAGATGGGCTGCTGGTCTCCAGCTCTGCAATCCCAAACCCTCAGCATCTCTGAGGCTTTCTGTTCCATAGCAAGTAGCAAGGTCAACTCAAAACCAAGCTCCTTGCTGTTAAGTGGATTTCGACTCTTAGTGACCCTATGGGGCAGGGTAGACCTGCCTCTGTGGGTTCCAGAGACAGTAACTGTTTATAGCAGTAGAAAGCCTCGTCTTTCCCTCCTTCGTAGCGTTACTATGTCAAAAACCCACAGGGGCAGTTGTACCCTGTCCTACAGAGATACGGAGTTGAAATCGCTTCAGTGGCAGTCGACTTGGTTTTGAGTTTAATTCCATTTGTCTGTGGACGTCTTGAAGCCCCTTGTCTAGGTGTTTAAGGAGGAGCCCCAGGCCAGCAGAGAGGTGGCAGCGTCAGAGAGGGAGAACGCATTTCTGAACTTACGTGGCAGGAACAGCTTCCGTGGCCTTCCATGCCTTCAGCACAACTGCCTCTGCCGTTGCAGGGGGACGAGGCTCCTCCGGGGCACTCTAGGGAAGTAGACCGCGCAGATGTTGTCACACGTGACTGGACTCAGGCTTTCTGTAAGGCTGCATGCAGCACCTTCTACACCCCAGTCAAGGAGTCCTGGTGATGCTGAGGGTTAGGTGTTGGGCTGTAAACTGCAAGGTGGGTGATTCAACCCCAAAACCATGCCTTGGGAGAAAAATGAGGCTGTCTGCTCCTATAAAGATTTACAGCTTCAGCATCTCTGTAGACCAGTGGTTCTCAACCTTCCTAATGCTGCGACCCTTTAATACAGTTCCTTGTGTTGTGGTGACCCCCCAACCATAAGATTATTTTCGTTGCTACTTCATCACTGTCATTTTGCTACTGTTATGAATTGGGCGACCCCTGTGAAAGGGTGGTTCAACCTCCAAAGGGGTCGCGATCCACAGGTTGAGAACCACTGCTGTAGAGGGTTTCTGTGAGTTGGAATCAACTTGATGGTGGTGGGTTTGGGGGTATATGGCAGTTAAGAGCTTGGCTGACACAAGCAGTTTGTGATCAGCTACTCAGCTAAAGGCTGGCTGTTCCAACCTGCCCATAGCCTCCATGGAAGAAAGACCTTCTGAAATGTTTCTATAAAGATTATGGCCAAGAAGACCCTCTGGAGCAATTGCTCACTGCATACATGGGGCTGCATAAGTTGGGGCAACTTCTTGGCAACTAATAACAAGAACAGCATGTGCCAGTTGGGAATCTCTGGATGGTGCCAATGGTTAATGACTCAACTATTAACTTACAGGTTGGAGGTTCGAATCCACTCACAGGTGTCTTAGAAGACAAGTCTGGCAGTCTGCTTGCCCTACGTCAACCCTTCAAAGCCCTGTGGAGCACAGCTCTCCTCTGACACACGTGGAATTGCCGTGAGTCAAAGTCAAGTTGATGTTGGTGCCCAACTGGCTCCTAGTGTCTTATTGGGCCTTTGGGGACTTTGCTCAGTCTTGCAATGCTGTCAGGATTCACGATACATTGACAAACCTTGGCCGTTTCCCTTCAGAAGCTAGAAAGTAATGCACCTCCATTAGAAGGACAGAACTCCTTAACAATACCTGTAGCTGGAATGTGGGCCTGCTCCCTCCAAAGGGAGAGAACAATCTAGAATCAGAAGACCTTCCTTCATCTGGATCTTTCCAGAAGATCTCTCCCCCAAACCTTGCCTATAAAACACTCCTTGACCTATGGGGTGCGGAGGCCGATTTTGTCTGCTGCTCTCAATCCTTGGATACTCAGCTCATCGCCATTGAGTGGATTCTGACTCACACCAACACCATAGGGTGGAGTGGAACTGCCCCTGTGGGCTTCTGAGACGGTAAATCTTTATACTAGCAGAAAGCCTCAACTTTCTTTCATGAAGTGACTGGGGGTTTTGAACTGCTGGCCTTGCAACTAGCAGCTCAATGCATAACCCACAATGCTATCAGGACTCCTTGGATTTTAGTATTTAATGATACTCTTGATCTACCTTTCACTATTGTCTCATGAATTGGCATGCTAGTGACAGGCTGCCCAAATCACCCTCAAATTGTGTGAACAATGACAACTGCTCTCTGGTCTTATATGCCAGTTAGTGTAGTAGTCTCCAGGGATGAAGATATATTAATATATTAATCATTATGTACTATCTGTATATAAACTATTAATATATTGAGAGATAATTATGAATGTATAATATGATCTAATAGGCAAGATAGATTATAAGCAGGTAAATAATAGTGCACTGGACACTGTAATAGAAAGCATCAGGGTATCATATTTTTATTACTTGTGATACACTCACTAATAATCCAACTAAATCATTCCCATCATAATCTCTTGGGATTGCTATTGCTGCTGGTTAGCAGACCAGGAGATTACAATTCAGAGAGGTCCTGTAACCTCAAAGTCTCCATTTGTGATGTGCAAAGCTGGGAATTTAGCTCAGCCCTTAATTTAGCTCAGCTCCCCCAAAGCCAGTGAGGTGTGCAGGGTAGTGATGTGGCCCTTAGAATCAGACCATTGGATCTGCCTTGGGAGACACCCATTAAAAAAGATTCATTAAGCAGGAGTGTGAAGCCATTATTGAACCAAACCCATTGCTTCAGATTCATAGCAATAGAATGGATGGTGGGTTTGAACCAACCATCGTTTGATTAGCAACTGTGTGCTTAACCTTCGGGCTCCTTTTCATCGACCACTAACTACCCATGCACTGTGGCACCAAGGGCTGCAGGGTCAAGTGCCATCTCCAAGACGGGCCATGGACAGGACTGCTGTGGTCCATAGCATTTTCTTTTTAAAAAATCATTTTATTGGGAGCTCGTACAATTCTTATCACAATCCATCCATCCATCCATCCATCCATCCATCCATCCATCCATCCATCCATCCATTGTGTCAAGCCCATTGGTACATTGGTTGCCATCATCATTCTCAAAACATTTTCTTTCTACTTGAGCCCTCTATTTCCCCCCCTCTCTCCCCGCTCCCTCCTCCCTTATGAACCCTTGATAATTTATAAATTATTATTTTTCATGTCTTATACTGTCCGGTGTCTCCCTTCACCCATTTTTCTGTTGTCCTCCCCCCAGGGAGGGGGTTATATGTAGAGCATTGTGATCGGTTCCCCCAGAGCATTTCCATTGGTTGGTTTTCTTCCTGCTCCGGCTTAGTCTGAAAACGGCTGACGCGTGTTCAACAGCGTGTTGTTGTGATTGATAGTGCCGTTGAGCTGGCCCCACCTCGTAGCGACCTTACAACAGAAGGAAACACCGGTCCTGCGCCATCCTCACAGTCGTTTGAGCCCATTGTGACAGCCGCTGTGTCAGTCCATCTTGTCAAGAGTCTTCCTCTGTTTCTCACGGCCTCATCTGCTTTAACAAGCACCATGTGCTTTTCCACCGACCGGCCGCAGGGATAATGTGTCCAAAGTATATGAGATGAAGTCTCACCATCCTGGCTTCTTACGAGCATTCTGGTTGTACATCTTCCAAGACAGACTTGTTTGTTCCTTTTTTCAGTCCATGGTAATGTCCATATGTATTTTTTGCCAGCATTATAATTCAAATGCATCAATTTTTCTTCTAGCCTTAGTTTGATGGTGAGAGGATAGTCTTTTCAAGAAATGGTGCTGGCTTAATCATAGTCCTAATCTAAGAACACGTAGTTCTTATAACATGTCCCTGCTCAATACCTGCCCTTATGAAACGTTCCCTGAAGCTATGAGTCCTATAGCAAAGTGTGGTGAAGAAATCAGATGGTGCCTGGCTAGCTGAAAGAATACCATCTGGAATCTTAATGGCTTGTCTTAAAACAGGCAACCCACTAAGTGAGATGTCAGCTAAATCCACACAAAAGAAGCACACCAGCCTGTGTGATCCAAGGAATGTAAATAATAAAACCCAAATTTTCAGGAGGGAATGGTATCAACCCTTAAACTGAGAATCCTCAGTTTTCAAAGGCTATGGATAATGGTGGAAGCCCAAAATCCATTTGCAGTGTCCTCATATACATTAAGCCTCTGGTGAATCCCCTATGACCATTGACCAGGGATCTGAATGGCCTTGCTATCAGACAATGTGCATTGTAGAGTGGATTATTTCAGCTGTAGTTAGATTAAAATGTACCACCTTGCAATTTTATCTCCCTTTTGACCCATTTGAAATTTGTTCTGGTTTTTAATATTTTTCTATTTTCTTTTAGACTGAAATATTTCTGTTTCAGTTTATCATTTTTTGGTATGTCTTTCTGTATATGAAATCCAGGATAGCTAAATCTGTAGAGACAATAACTGGATTAATAATTCCCTAGTGGCATGGCAGGGGAAGTTTCGGGAAATTGGGAGCTACCAACAAAGAGCACAAGAAAGAAGAAAATGTCCTAAAATTGATTATGGTGATGATTGCACAACTCTCTCTACTATTATTGAACTATTGACATATGAGTTATATGTCAATAAAATGATTAAAAAATCAAATGTGCTGAAGGTTCAAAAAGAATGAAATGGCACTGGAATAATTAGGGAACCATATGTAAAAGGAAGTGAACCTTGAGCCATAGCTCACACCATATGGAAAAGTTACCTGGAAATGGGCAAAAAGTCTAAATCTAACCCCTAAAACAATAAAACTTCTAGAAGAAAAAATTTATGACCTTAGACTTGGCAAAGATTTTTAAGTGCAATTCAAAAACACTATGCGTATGCAAAGCAAACATTGATATATTTGACCCCATCAAAAACAAACAAAAACATATCATGCGCTCTGAAAGACACTGCTGCATTGATTGTGGTGATTGTGAACACTTGCTTAGAGTCGTCCAAGGTCACCGAGCTCAGGAAGGTCGAGAGGAAAGAAGCTGACGGAGGTAGCAATTGTAGAACTGCGCTCGGTCTGACTGAATTATGGATGATTGCAATGTCTATAAATGTGACCTTTTAAAAACGGTCACAGAGCTGTACCCTAAAAAGAGTGAATTTTACTGCATGCAAACTATGCCTTAAAATGAATGAGTGGCAAATACCCTACTAGAGCATATTCTTCAAGATAAGTCTTCAAAAGGTGCTCAGAGTCCCTGTAAATGATTCCTTACGCTTTCTTTCTATATGAATCCACAAAGTTTCCTTTTCTACTGTTTCTACTTGCTTGGAGCGAGAATACATTCAGGTACCAGTCTCAGAAAAGGCTATTAAAAAATACACTGTCAATTTGCCAATGCCTGGCCTCAAATTTCTCTTTCTTTTCATCTGCATGATTTCATATTAGTACAAGAAAATCAGGGCTCAGCAAGCATGCCTTCAATCCAAAAACCATTTAGTAACTTGTTGACCCTTCCATGGGCCGGCCCGTGATCTTCGAGATGTTCCTTGGCTTTTGTTTGGTGCTGTCATTTCTTACTATTATTGTCGTTAGTAACAGTGATGCAGAACCCAGAGAGAATGTCAATCACATTACATGGATGATCTCACTGTATTTAATCTAGTCAGTAGCCTAATGAGATGGCTATTATT